CCATTGATAATGGAGAAATTTGTGAGAAGGTAAGGGAAAACTTATTGTTTAAAACTAATATGAATTTAATTTGTATAAATGCCTGGTTTATAGGGTTATTGTGCCGGTTTTCGATATAAATATAAAAAGACGGAAGAATTTTAACTAAGTAAACTAGGTATAATTTTCTAATTCTTTCAAACATGTTCAAATGTTTGGGAAAGTTTGCGAATATGTTTCTTAAGTTTCTAATAATTGCATAATTTTGCTAAATTAATGCGTTTTTAGTCTATTTTCTATCACCGGTTGTATGATTTTCGACTAAAAACCGGCCTTTGAGGAATAGGTTTTGGGTTTTGGGTACGCGGCTACGCAAAAATTTACTAAAACCATAATGAGGCTCAAAGTATGAATGTTTTTTTCCATACTAGTGAATGCCCTTCATTCCACTGATGACTGAGTACTGAACCAGACTCCGCTGTTGTCTCAGCTATTATTAATAACCAATATTTTTTTTTATGGAAAAAAATCTTAACATTAACAATTTATTAATTTGCGTATAATATTTAGTATAAGATGCAGTAATAAAAAAAATTGGTGTCTTAATGTATGGTTTGGCCTATTTAATGATTTTGGACTAGTTATTTTAGAACTATTGGCAACAGCGTAACGCGCGAATTTGAATTATGACAGAAATGCGCGCCATCTCGTATCCAGCATCTAAAATACCAAGGCCTGAATTGAATTTGGAGGCTCGCTTTCGATAGCGAGCCTCCAAATAGCGTCGCAGATTTTTACCATTTGACTGGACGTCTATTCATAGTATTTAAGTCTATGGTAAAATGGAACACAGTCATAACCTTTGAATATAAAACTACAGGAAGGAGCATAACCTCGAATCTGCGCGACCAAAAAATGTGGAGGTTGCATATGGCCGACTAGTGTTTCCGGTTTGGCAGTGGCGTATATTTATTTAAATATGATTGTCAATATTATGACTTACTCTTTTCGCACTAATTCCAGTGCTTATTATCACTTCAAACTGCTAAAATCCATCAAACCTCCACTTGAATGAGGACACAGCGAACCACCAAAACAAATGATGAGTCCATACTTGGAGGCTCAAAATGGCCGTTTCCGTCCCTGTGTTGTCTGTAGTGACAGATAGGAAACGCTCCTTCCTGTAGTTTTATATTCAAAGGTCATAACACAAGATTATTATATAAGATTTCAAGTACAAGTCACATATACTTACTTAATCACGCCATCATATCAAATTATTCAACATCCTCCCTTACCAAATACAAAGTCATGATTTAGGTGAAAAATTTGAAATAGATATTAATAAATTGTAAGTAAACTTAGAACCATATTGTTTAAGGGATTTTTGCCCAGATCTACCTATATGATTTTGTAACACTTATCTTTTGACTCTACATGTTTCATTTCATGTACTCTTTTATCTTGTTTTCACTTCTGTACAAGGGGGGTAACCACTCAGTAAATATGGTGTATAAGAACTGTAATTTTTTTGTAAATTTTTGTAAATATCAGTAATTTTTAGTAATTTCTAGTAATTTTAATAATTTTCAGTAATTTCTAGTAATTTTTAGTAATTTTTAGTATTTCTTAGTAATTTTTAGTAATTTTTGGTAATTTTTGGTAATTTTTCAATAATTTTCCAGTAATTTTTTATAAATTTTGAAGGGTATTTTACAAAAACGTTTCTAAAACAATTATTCTGGAAGTTCTGTGGAAACTTCCTCATGACAAAAGCAATCGTATACATAAAATCTATACCGGGTGGGTCAATGCTCGAGCTCAAGCCAATGAAAAGAAAACAAAATAAAACGGATTTTTCATATTTATCGTCAGTTAAGAAAAAAGGCTCGGAACTGTTAATTTCTATTTTTGAGGGGGAAACTTTTTGCAAAGAATTTTAACTCGAGGTCTAGGGGGTACCTATACGTCGCGTCGTATACGAAAAATTGTAGGTACGGGTGGAGGGTGAAACCATAGATAAGGGTGGAGTTCACCCCCCTAGGATATGGTAGCAATGGATTGGAGTGATAGTGTTGAAAATACGCACAAAAGTGTTCCCCGCGATAGAAAAATTGACGATAACATATCGATACGGCTGGAAATCCCTAATTACCGGAAGGCGGTCTTCATTGACAACAACGTGTGGTTTTTGCTTTAAAAACTGAAATTCCACGTAAAATTAAATTTTAGAGGTTAATTACACTCTGGCTCTGGCACGTACCATTGTCACCAAAAGTAACTGGGACAGCATCACATTAGCTCTTGTCCTATTATATGAATCTTATTGTCAAATATTTGTCAAACTATGAATTAAATGCATTGAAATAAATGACAGTTGAGTTAGTCTAGGAGATTATTATGCGTTATTTGTGTCCCAGATACTTTTGGTGACGATGGTACATGCCACAATTTGAAGAGCTCCATTGAGGTATTGACGACTTAGTTATGACGTCGGAAATGGTGACACACCAATATGGCGACGATTACCAAAAACGAGGCTGATAAGCAATCCTGTAGGTGTGTATCATCCTTGGTACAGAAACGCCTTCTACAACTCAACTGTCAATATTACATTCCTTCCTATAACGTGTGAGCTGTGTATATGTACTGTGTAGTACATTCCTCTGTAATGAAAATTCGAGAAGTTTAATATAAAACTTCTCGAAATTTATTGCATTAAAAGCCTATTTTGGCATTGGCACATCATTAAATGGCTAAACCCAAGGTTGTTTGAGAAAGGCCGGTTGCTTGACAGCTTCATGACGTCATCCGGGGTGCCTCAACACAATGCAAATTTCCATAGGGCTCCCCAGACGCGTCATCAGGCCACCCTGATCCTCCTATAGCAATAACAATAACGCATAAAACTTGTTTCGTGTGAGGCAGGTGACGTCACTAGAGCAGCGCGTGCCCCCGCTAAACTGGCGGAAAAATATCACCGATGTAACCATTCTCTGTGGTTTATCGTTCTTGATCAAAGATCACCTGAGCTCTATCCAAGGCTCCTAAAGTTGATAGGTTGTCCGGCAATGGGCAACCTGACGAGGCATCTGGGGTGCCCTATGGAGATTTGCATTATGTTTAAGCATCTCAAATGACGTCATGCAGCCATCCAGGCAACCTTCCTCTCTCAATAATAACCTTGAGGTCTATCGTCTTTTTGCTCGGGCAGGATTAACCAACCGAACTCGCCTATTCTATAAACGCGATGACGCGTTACCAACGGAACGTGCGCGCGCACGCGTATTTGTAATTTCTGGAGCCCTATTTGAATTTTGAAATCATTGTGAATGTGCCTCTAGTCCTTCTTGCGAATTTTCCACTGACAGTGCCGCATCTTTATGCCATTTTGGTAACGGGTCTTAAAAAAAAAACTAAATCAGAGAGTGCTTTGATTACAAAAACATATAGTTTGTCGATTTTAATCTGATACTGCAAAGGAATGTGAGCTGGTAGCTTTCTACATTAGAACGCCAATGGTTACCTGACGCTTGTTTTTGCCTTGTGAAACATCTCCTCGCTCCTCATACGGAAAGTGCCAGAATAAAAACGACGGACTTTACGTCGCATTATTATTTCTTTCTTGGTCGAGATTTTTGACCAAGTTTTCGACATTACAAAATGCAATGACAAAATTGAAGAAAAATATTGCTGAGACATACGTTTAAAAAACCCGAGGAAAAACCATATGCATCTCTGATTTTTTTCTTTGAAGACCCATCACAACTGACACAAGATTAATTTCTTCTATCATAATAAAAATTCCAGAAAAATTCAAAAATAATGTTTATGTCCGATTGACCAATAAAGTGCTATTTATAGAACAGTTTTGCGTCAATAAAGTAGCACTTTATTGTACTAGTAAAATAAAGTGCTACTTTATTTTACTAGTAAAATAAAGTGCTACTTTATTGCCTACCTAGACTACCTGACAAGGTAAAACTGGTCCTGACAACCTGCCAAGGTGAAACAGGTCCTGACAACCTGCCAAGGTGAAACAGATATACCTACGCGAATTTTACTTTTTTCCTTAAATTCGCAATCCTACATAAAATCATGTATATAACGCTTACATAAACAGGCTTTATTGACTCATTATTTAATAGCCTCGCTCGCAAGCTCGCTCGGCCATAAAATTACTCGTATAATAAAGCCTTACTTTATGTACTTGTTATATAAATAGCTATTTAAAAATATTTTGTCATTTTTCAAATTGACAGTAATTTATTTTACTAATGAAATAAAGTGCACTTTAATGTACTAGTAGGTACCTTCTATATAAAAACTACTTATAAAATCAAGTTAGAAATGATGTTGAGGGGTTTTAGTAATTTTGGTAAATGTGTGTAATTTCAGTAATTTTAGTAAATGTGAGTAATTTTTTTGTAATTTCAGTAATTTAAGTAAATGTGTGTAATTTTTTTGTAATTTCAGTAATTTTAGTAAATGTATGTGTAATTTTTTAGTAAATATTTGTAATTCTGTTAAATGGGTGTAATTTTCGGTAATTTTGTAAATATCATTAAATATTTTGTAATTTTTTGTAAATATTATTTTGGTGTACACGATTGTTCGGAGTGGTTACCCCCTCGCTTCTGTATATTGAATAAAGAAATACATATAGAAATATTATTGTGTATTGAATTATCTCACAGAATCTCTGACCAAAAAGTTAAAAAGCCTTATACAAACTGACACTTGCAACACCAAGAAATTGAATGGGTAATTTTTTTTCTCATGTGAGAGATCCATTAATGAATTTCTAGCATTGACAAACTATAACATGTTTTAACAGTAAACCTTAAATTTCAAAATAGGTAGTTTTCAATTAAATCCACTTCATATTTTTATGTTACCTTACACGAGTCATACCCATACTATAATTGGTTTATCAGAAAGATAAATTTATTATCGTTTAGGAGTACTTGGCCCAAAACATTAAAATGAAAAATTAATACAATAAAAACTACTTTACTTACCCAAGCCAGGAAGTGATAATAAATTAACTTTGAATAAGTTAAAGTGGAACTTTTTGAAATAAAGTTACTGTTATTATAAATATTCCTTCTATTCTGCACTCTCCTCAACATTTCTTTGGTTATAATCGGATAATGGACATAACATCCTGTCTTGCAACCTCCTAGGAATTTAAACAAAGGAAGAGTGAATGAAAAACCAGTCGTTTCAATGAAAATATCTAAAATAAAATTAAAAAATTAAAGTATAAAGTTTTTTATTGTTAATCATTATTACCAGGATTTATTGCACATAAAGCCTCAAATCCCAGCCACATAGAGCCCAATACTTGTCCTAATAAAGTGAATATTGGATACATATCAGCTTCAACCCATTTTCTTCTAGTTAGATAAATAAATTTCACTTTATCTAAGTTTATTTCTACATTGAGGCTATTTTTTACTTTCCTCTTGATTTCTATTGGCGAAAATTCAATGTCGCCAGTGTATATGTAGAAAGTTGCATGTGGATATCTGAAACGTACAGCTGTTTACACAGGCAACTATTTACACTAATTTTATAGTGGATTGAATTGGAGCAAATTTGGATAAAAATGTTACGAAATCATACTCACTTCTCCAACATAGCTCTAAGTGCTACCCATAGTACTTTTTCTCCACCACCTCCAGCATTGGCATAGGGATGAAATATACCAACACTAAGTTGGTCTCCTCGTTTTTGCCTCTCAAGCTTGAAGGAATGTTTCAAGTAATAATATGTTAGTGGCAATAGTAACGTTGCAGCCAGTATTAGAAATAAAACTGAAGCAAAAGCCAGTTTGATAGCTACAGCTAATGAAAACCTGGAACAAGTCGTTTTGAGGTTATGGTTATGCCCGATATTTAAAATGTGAATGAAAAAAAATAAAATAAATACTTACAAGAAACTCATAATTGAATCCATATTTCTGTTTCTCAGAATTTTTGTCCTAAAATAATGTATGGAAAATTTGCAACTTTTGCACTCCAATCCACAGTATTTTTGTTTGAAATTTGAAGTTTTTCAAGGACACTCTAAAAAAAGGCAGTCTTTTCGTCTTTCGTCACACGTCGTCACGTTTGACATGTTCCACTCGCACTAATAGCGATTTCCATAAGTGCTTTTCAGTGACCCATTTGAGTTACTCCTGAGCAGCTCAGGAGTGCTTCACAATTACTTTGCGCGTTCCAGTGCTTAGAGTGTCGTACACTTGAACGACTCATTCCTGTTATCCCCTGCCCCCTCGTGCACCAACCTTTATTTCGGTGTTTCATGCTCCTGACGTGCGAAATGGTGGGGGTTAAAGACGAGAGCGTTCCAGTAGATGTATTCCTGTCACACCTAGGAGGAGCTCCTGAACAGCTCCGGGGCTTCACGCGCTTATTCCTTTCGAAAAGTGTTTGTAGCACCACGCATTTGTTCCCTGTAAATCGGGGGCGACTGAACACCAGAGCGAGTAGCTCGAGTGTTTCCAACTCTTGAAAGGAATACAACTAGTGCTGCTTATGTCGAACAGTTCAAGAGCGTCACACTCCAAGAGCATGATACTCTAACAATTTAGGCACTGGAAAGCAGCTCATTTATCAATCAATGCGCACTGAGTGTAGCCGCAGTCTCATCTTTTTTAAAAAATTTAAGAATTTAAGTATTCCTTTTTGTTTTGCACTGATTCTACAAATTGAAATCCCTATAAACAACCACCAACCACCAACCACTTTAACCACTGTTCGGATCACAATAAATAGAATTCTATTTTACCTGGAATATCTCCCAAGTAAATACAACATACTACTGGGTTAAAACTCTCGCTAAAATACGCCTCTCTCCCTTTTTGAATCAAATAAAAACGATTTGGAGAGACAGAATTTAGGATGCTCAGCAGAAATAAAATAATATTGGAATGGTCGTGAGTGAGATATGTTTTGCTCCGGCAAAGTAAGTATATGGGTGATTTGTTTGTTTGTATTGCACTAACTTGTAATAAGTGAAAGAATGAGAGCAAGCAAAATATTCCCAAGTTTGTTACTTCACGAGTTCTGTAAAAAAAAAACTGACACAAATGAACCAAATTTAAATACTGGTCAGGCTGTGGAGTTGTTAGAAGGTGTAATGGCCGTTTGCATCCAAGGATAATACACGATTGCTTATCGGCCTCGTTTTTGGTAATCGCGGCCATATTAGTGTATCACCATTGCCGACGTCAATAACTAAGTCGTCAGCTGTTTGCGCCAGCGGTCCTAGTTTAAAATTTAAATTTATGATCAAAAATATTATTTATTCTATCGCGAATGGTAAACTATCATTTAATCGACTCAAAACTCGTTGTTAAAGTAACACTTTATTTAAAGTAGTGAAATCGATCAATTTTTACCCACTCATTTGTCAATTTTACCCACTCATACGTCAATTTTACCGACTCATACGTCAATTTTAACCACTTGTTCAAATCTTTTATAATAATTATAGTGTTTTTGACAGTAATCTGATATGTTGCATGATTGACACACCAGAAATGTGTCAGTTTGTTAGGTACTTTGTCAATTTGTCATAATCTAAATCTATGTAAAAATTTATACATTTTAGGGCCGTTTGCACCGACCATTTTAAGGAAGCCTTAGCGATAAGTATTCCTTAAAGTGACATTTCTCCATGTAAAAATGTCATTTTAAAGAATACTTATCGCTAAGGCTTCCTTAAAATAGTCGGTACAAATGACCATTAGTTTATAGAATATTACACACGACGGTAAAAAAGCTTTTCCTGTTCGTGGAATTAATCCACTCGCTCCTTCGTCGCTCGTGAATCAACATTTTCCACTCACAGGTAAAGCATCTTTTTACCGTCTTGTATAATAAATAACTATCAATTCTGATTAAAATAATAGGCGAAAAGGAAGATGCAAACGAGATCTAAAAAGGAGTTGGTTTAGGGTGGGTAATATAAAACTGCTTTGACAGTTAACTTGAAGTTAACTTTTTGAATTACATGTCATTCCAGAAGTTAACTTTAAGTTAACTGTCAAAGTAGTTTTATAATACCCGCCCTTAGAATGTTAATTAATGTAGTAAAACCAAGTATGCGTAAAGCAAAAGCCCGCGGAATCATAGCCTGTGCCCTGTGGTGCAAACAGCCTACGTCAAAACGAGTAACGACATGCTGCCTACGTCACAACTGGTGATTTGATTTAGCTTGGTGGGGAGCTTCGGATTTGTTCTTCACAGGTCTTATGAGGATAGGCTATTTTGTAGTAATAGTGTGTATTATTCTTGATTTGCACCGACCATTTTATAAAAAAGGAGGTTAAACGATAATCAACGAAGTGACATTTTTACATGAGCTGCTTTCCAGTATGCACATTGACGCGCTCTAGAGCAGCCCGGGAGCGCCACGCACTAGATTTGTACCATTCCAGTATCATGACGTGTGACGTTTGTCCGTATGTATAGCTCGGGGGCTCAACGCACTGAGTAGCACCGAGCGTCACACTCCCATACTGGAAAGCAGCTGTTAAACCTCCGTTAAGGGCGGGTATTATAAATCTACATTGAGAGTTAACTTAAAGTTAACTTCTGAAAATACATGTAATTCAAAAAGTTAACTGTCAAAGCAGTTTTATAATACCCTCCCTTAGAGTCGTTTTACACGGCAAAGTTTCTTCACGAAATTATTCACGAAATTATTGCCGAAATATTTCGTAAGTTTACTATTCTTGTTTCACTTGTAAACTTGTTGACACGACAAATAAAATTTAGCAAAAGTTTCGTGAAAATATTAGTCATACGCCGGCGCAGTAACGTTTTGCCATCTAATATGAAATCATAATCTCATACGTTGGAAACCAAAACAAATAAAACTTGCGTTTTCTAATTTTTGTTGAATCTTTTATCGGCCTCGTTTTTGGTAATCGCGGCCATATTGGTGTGTCACCATTGTCTATCTCCTATCTCTCCTTACATTTTATATGTAGATGCGAAAACACTTGTATGTATTATCGTTTAACCGAATGAACGATGTCACAGAAATTACAAAAAAGTTAGATTTTTCGTTACGTCACCAGCATAAATGCTTAAAATTGTTAGGTTATATATTTAGTACATTTTTAACTAATTTAGTACAAATCATCGCCAGACTTCAGTACAAAATTGGTTTTTCTCGCGACAACACTGCTATAGAACATTTTCGAAAGTTTATTGGCGAAATATTTCGTAAGTTTTTCTTGTCGTGTAAAGTCTAGTACTCATAACTGCGAAATTCGCATTTTTTTTGACATTGCGTTGACAATTTGACGTTTTTTGCGTGTATCAAACGTCAAATTATGGAAGCATTGTCAAAAAAGTGCGAATTTCGCAGTTATGAGTACTAGGCTTAAAACAGGAAAAGTTGACTTACGAAATATTTCGGAAACAAATTCGTGAGTAATTTCGTGAAGAAACTTTGCCGTGTAAAACGGCTCTTAGTAAATGACCTTGAAATTTGCAAAAAATTTCGCCTGCGGCGCGTTTTCGAAGGGCGTCCCCTCAGCCCCCCCTTCCATTTACCCCCCCCCAGACTGATGATCACGCGTCGCCACTGGTCGACAAGAATGAACTTCACATTTGTGTTTTCATATTTCACAAGACAAGAGTCGATGCGTGAACTTCTTAGCTCACTGGCATAGATACACCCTAGCTAGACACCCAAGACACTAATTTATCGATGTGATACTCTCACTCAGTGCCTTTATTTCTAGCTGGATTCGGCTTGCACATTCCGTACACTTCGAGTGGCTCCGTTCGCACTGACTCCGTTCGCACTCCGAGTGACTCCGTTCGCACTCTGATTTGTTAAAAGGCAATACCTGAACGGCTGGAGTGCGAACGGAGTGACTCGGAGTTCACGGAGTATGCAAACCGAACCCAGCTTCTGAACACGCCTCTACGGTTTACACTTGAAAACGGTGCGAATCTGTCATTCTCGTCAATTTTAAATCTTTTGTTTCTGTTGTTGTTTGTTTGTAGTTATTGGTTATGTTTGAATTCAAGAGTCCTTGGTAAAAGGCTTATTTTTTTTGTTAATTTCTTTAGTTTGTGAAAGTTCTGTTAATATTTACCTGAAAATATAATGGTTTGTATATTTATGAAAAATTTGTATAAACTGACCTAATCTCCTAATCATCCATGGTAAAGTTGTTTGAACTCAAAAATCAAGACTATTTAAAATACCTAAATTTTCAAAATTTCAAATTATTAGCGTTAGTTTCCTAATTATTATTCTTGATTATTTGTTTAATAGAAGATAAACCACAAACCGTTGCAACGACATTAAAACTATTTTACATGTATTTGAACTACATTCACAATCTTCTATGTAGTATTATTTGAAAAAATATTGGAAAATCGGGTTTTTTAAATATTTGATTGTTTCTGTTTAAATTGCATTAATTTTCTAGAGACGAAGTGCTGCTCCAAGTCAAGCAGGAAAAGACTCGCCCACCCAAGTGAAATCACTAATTTCCAGCAGCCAAATTAATGTTTCCAAAGCATTTTGTTCGCCTCTCACTCAGTCGCTAAAAAGGACTAGGAATTCGGGAAAAGATAATCCCAAAGCTAAACTAAGATCTCTAAGGAAAGCAGATGAAAATAACGAAATTGTGTATCCTTCAAATCATGTAAGTATTATTGTATTTGGTATAGGGTTGCCAGACTCCTTGATTTAGGCGTGATTATCACGCTTTTCCACTTGCTGCCACGCGCAACGCCAAAGTACTCCAATTCCCTGCTTTTCAAATTCAAAGGTGGAAGGAAACTACAAGAATAGAGCTTTTCAGAAAACGCCTAATAATGGTTAAACCCAACAACCCTGTGCCAAAGGGGTCGTACATTTTCTATCATAAAATGATATAGTTGTATTTTTCCTTCCTATTAAAGTCTGTTTTTTTTTTATTGAAGATAAAACCCCTACAGGGAACCCTATCTGGGATCACGACAAGTAGAATTCTACTTTTAAGACGTCAGGTTGCCCAACAACCATCATCATCGCCGGTACTGTACACGATAAATAAATCGTGGGTGACGTCATGAAAGTAGAATTTTACTTGTCATGAGCTTACGGAAAAGATTTACCCCCACTGACTTGTTTTTTTGTGCGTAGGATAGAATTAAAGTAATAAAAAAATAAAATAATTCCCTCCCCCCCCCTGTCGTTGCTACGCTTTTCCCTCTCGTAAATCTAGCAACCCTAATTTGGTATACATATACACTATTATGTAAGTTAAGTACATATTAAGGATGTGCCAAGGGATATGTAATGTATAAAACTTAACATATTCAATAACACATCACAGAAGAAAATGCTCGAGAAAATGTATCAAAAAAATATAATCAGCCTATTCATGGTACACTGTGACAAGCCTGAGATGGGCATGTTTTGCAGAGTGGACACCAAGCCCTGTCTGACTGTTCTATTTTATTTATTTTAATTTTATTTCCACTTCCAACAGGCAGCAGCCCAATTTTACAAATATTGCCATAATAATAATATTAATACTAGTATCAAACCACATATAAATAAAAATTTTAAAAAGAGTACTTACAATAAATTATTTCTAAATTAAAACATTGAAAGGGCAACAAAAACAGCCAAAAACAGGTCACAGAGTAAATCACTACTTTACAAAACAATATCACAGTGATAGCTTCATTTGGTGCAAAGATGCAGTAAATATGTCCACCTGTATCTCATTGGCATAAGGCATAGCCCGATTAATGGTTGTGTGTTGGCCATAAGAGGTACGATGTCTCTCCAACGAAAAATAGCGCACAGCTCTAAAATTTCTCACTGGGACATTCAAGTTTACAGCCGAGAGCAACTCGGCGCAATTCAGATAACCTCTGAGCAACTTAAAAATCAATACCTGATCAAATTTTCTACGCCTATGCTCCAATGTTTCCAATGACAAATTCTGCAAAAGATGACCATGATCAATAAAATCTGAAGGTATTCCCATTTTGTACCCTATGTATCTCAAGAATTTTCTCTGTACACGTTCAACTAATTCAATATAAATTTTATAATGTGGTGACCACAAACAGCTATTATTTTCAAGATGGGAACGAACCAATGACACATACAAGCACTTGAGAGCAGAAACATTCTTAAAGTCTCTTGTATGTCTTTCGATAAAACCCAACATTTTCAATGCTTTATTACAACATGCATAAATGTGTTCAGAAAATGACAATTTTGCATCGAATATAACACCTAGGTCACAAATACTAGAAACATTTTCAATAACATTATCATTTATATAAAAGTCATTTAGTTTGGGAGAATTTTTCCTAGAGAACTGAATATATTTGCATTTCTTGCCATTCAATGTCATCTCGTTCTCAACACACCAATCATGGAACCTCAGAAAATCATCCTGCATTCCCCTGTCTGGGCCTTCTTGATTTATACTCTTGAAAATTTTCAAGTCATCAGCATATAATAAAAGTTGGACATGATGAAAGCAAGACCCTATGTCATTGATAAATAAGCAGAACAGGAGTGGTGCAAGATGACCTCCCTGAGGCACCCCAGAAGTAGGGCTGCCATCCGTCCGGATTTCCCCGATTTGTCCTAGTTTTAAAGGCGTCCGGGGGGATTTTTTGAATTTATCTGTGTTTTACGCTTTACGGCATCTTGAAAAAAATCACGAATAACTCCGCGAAATTGACAAGAACTATGGAAATCGTCAATCGACATTATCAGTTTTATTTAGCCCGCATGTGCGCTACTCAAGTTTCACGTTCACGTGTCGTTAGTCATGTTTGGAGCCCCAATAAAATGATTTTTTTTTGTCAAAATAATGAGTGGTTCTCGAAGGCTTGAAATAAACTTTTTTGGGTGTGGCACCCAAAAAAATCTTCTAGCGCCTAAGGTGGGCTACCCTTTAGTGGTGTCCGGGTTTGAAAGGTTAGAATCCGGGGTTTTTGTAAAAATTGTCCTAGGTAACAAATTTCATAAATGGCAGCCCTACCCAGAAGTAACACTGATAACCTCAGATTGAAATGACTTCACCTTTACAATCTGGTTTCTGTCTACAAGATAAGAATACAGCCATTGAAGAAGTGAACCACATACACCATATTTGGAAAGTTTTTCTATCAATAATGCATGACTCACCCTATCGAAGGCCTTGGAGAAGTCAGTATAAATAGATAGAATCTACAACCTGACCGGCTTCCAAGGCCCCCAATATGGCTCGTTCATACACTAACAAATTTGTTGTTATAGATCGACCACTGGTAAAACCATGCTGTTCTGAAATTATTATATTCTTAAGTTTTTCAGTTAAAAAATCGTTTACCAGTGATTTAAATATTTTTGGGAAATGAGATAATAGTGTATTAGAGCGATAATTCTCAACATCTTCCTTGTTGCCAGAGTTTTTAAAAATCGGACATACAAAAGATAGTTTCCAATATTTTGGAAAGACTCCATCAGACAATGATTTATTATATAACAGCCCCAAGGGTCTAGATAAGGTTAGTGCACAGTTCTTAAGAAATGTTAGAGGTATTCGATCAGGTCCTGGACATTTATTTATATCGATGTGACTCAGCTGTTAATAGGTAATTTATTGATATGTACCATGTCTTGAAAAGCAACAGGTTCACAACTGCCCACATTACCCATACGACCAGCGGATGCGAAGACCGATGCAAAGTGCCTTGCAAAGAGATTTGCAATGCCCTCACCATCAGACGCCACGCCCCTTTGATAATGGAGTGTGGGTGGCAACTCCCTTCTGTATATATTTTGATTCAAACACCATTGAAATTCATGAAATATGTTACAAATAAAATCAGGAAGCTTATATATATATATAAATTTTATGAACTGATAAATATATTGCCAATAAAAACACTTAAAACTGTACACTTTGCAATTATTAAATCCATAATAATTAATTATGGAATAATAGTTCGGGTAGGTGCTGGAAAAACAATTTCATCACAATTGCAAATAGCTCAAAAATGGGTCATAAAATTAATGCTTTTCAAGACCTCTATCAATACCTCATACACACCAGAAAATGGCATGAAGACTATGATCCGAATATAACCAAACGTTCACCAAAGTAACCGAATCGGTTGACAGATGGTTGCTGAAAATTCCGGTGACTTGCGGAACGCAAATATGAAATAGAAAATAATTGACAGAATTTACAGATAAAACCAACAGAACCGACATCCAATAGCCGGTAACTAATTTGACATTTGGTTAACCAGATTTCAGGATATCAAGTACCAAAAATTTGATTACTTTCGAACCGCGAAACCACAACCCTAGTTATATTCGGAACACAGCCTAATTGATTAATTTGTCGTGCAAAAAAAAATTGTCGCTTTTTTTTTTCTAAATACCCTCTAGCTTGATATAAGTTAGCGCTACCAACGCCACCCGATATTCCTACAGGAGTTTTACTGAGTGATTAATTTGTCGCTTTTTTGTTGCTGGAAATTTCAACTTTCTATCTAGGTATAATGGGTAAAAGTTATGACCTTTCAAAGTTTTCAGAAATCTAAACCCTAAGGCTTGCCTGGCAAAGTTCTTCAGCATTCGGCCATTCTTATATGACCCAGTAGGCTTAATCCACTTGGAATCACATTGTGCAGCTGACATCCATCATAATTCAACGATTTCTCGCCGGCATTCGGTAGTGCCCCACTGCTACACTTACCTTAAATAGTATAATCGTGCAACAAATGGGATCCTAACCTATTATGGTGGACGGCTTCCCCAGGGGACACCAATTACCAAAAAGAAATAATCAAACCACAAATTGTTGTCCTGGATGTCAGAGAAACGCAACTCCAATTGGTAAAAAATGGTAATTATTTAAAGAGGAAGTAATTGAAAAAATTTACAGCCAAATGCTGAAAACCCAAACCAAACTTGCTCAACTAGAAGTAGCTTACCTAAATTCTGATTCCTGTACCTATCACCCCTAAAAAAAAAACAGAAGGTAAATTCCTTTGGAAAGTTTATAAGTGCATAAAGGGACTTTTCTAGGACCTGTGGCGTGACTGAAGGGCAGGATCAGAAGGCTATAAATACTTAGTTGTTGGTACTTACGAAATTTTAATAATTTGTACACTAATCAATTATTAGAAAATTCGGTGAAGAATGCTCACTAAACTTAAAATTCTTATTAGACATTATATTACGTAAGGTTATATACATGTTCACATTTTGTATCTTAATGGTATTAACAGGTTTATGATATGATTAATAACAAGTATATCCAGCACCTAGATGACTTAACATCCGTATGTGCCATTTGAATTTAACTTATGTGTTAGTAAATAATAATATGATAATTATTGTGTATTGTTTGTCAACAGCAAACAACATCACAATATTAATCCTAAAAAAAAGTTCATTTTATTTTCATAATCTAAGAACTAGCCTAATCTACTCCTAAATTAAAAACTAAACTAACATAGCCTTCCCATCAAGGAAAGGAGAATAAACTCCCAAGAGATTCAATCAAAACAGAATCATAAATTGCTGGAGATTCCTGAAAATGTATCTCTTACATTCAGCACAGAATTTCTTATGGTTCTTAATAAGTTTTATGCTACCAGGAAGCAAGTTATAACATCTTGGAGCCAAATAGTTTATGAAGCGTAAATTGATATTTCTATTACTATTTGGAATAGCTAAGTGCCTGTTGACTTTAGTCCTAGTAGCATAAGCATGGTCTACATAGTTTCTTTATGTACAAATCAGCATATATTAAGAATATAGAGGGAACGAACACAGATAATGTCCTCGGAAAAGAGTAAATGAGTTGGGTATCGCCTTTCTTTTTTGAAGATAATTTTTAAAATATATTTTTGAATAATTTCCAACTGATGTAAGAAATTTCTATAAAGGCCACCCCACACAACCACACCATATCTAAGTAGTGATTCTACAAGTGCCTTATATACACATATCAACAGCTTTGTGCATAGTATTTCCCTTAAGCCATAAAATTTTCTAATAAGTGCTCTAATGTTATTAGTTACTTTGGAGACATGTTCTTTCCATTTAAGATTTTTATCTATTATGATTCCTAAATATTTTGTAGATGAAACCTCGTTTATTTCTTTGTCAAAGCCTTCAACTAGAATGTTGGTAAAAGGTGGGCGATTAGCAGCTGTTAAGGAAAACGCAATGTAATTAGTTTTATCTATATTTAGGGTGAGTTTGACTGAATCAAGCCAATTTTTGACTTTAGAGATACCCAACATTGCTAGATTTCTTACTTCGTCCCAGGATTGTGCTCTGAAGACAATAACAGTGTCATCCGCATAGGATATTACAAGACCGTTCTCTATTGTTAAGTTCGTTAAGGAATTTATATAGGTTATGAAGAGTAATGGACCAAGGACAGTGCCTTGAGGTATACCAATCTTCACAGATAGAGGTTTACTGTAAGTGTCCTGAATCTTTTTGACCTGGCTTCTGTATATAATTAAATTTTTTTTAATAGCTTATTCTTTCATAGTAAATAGTCTACTTAGTCTAGGAAAATTGTCGATTTTCAAAAAAAAAATTCTACCCAAAAGAACTTTTCAGGGATGATAGGGGGAGGGTGGGTGATCATAAAGCCGAAAATATCAAACATTCACCCCTCTGGCGTTTTGCGCTATAGGGGTTGAAAGTGCGCCATTGGCGATTACTTGGTACCTATTGATTTTACAAAAAAATGTTTCAAATAAAAGATGTGCAACATTATTTGATCTACAATGTTTATCTAAAGACTTTTTTGATTAAGGGCCGTCTGTGGTCATAAGGGCCTTTGAAATTTTATAATAATAATGAAAAATTTTAACCAACGTGAAAAAAATTTCTACAACTCATACAACATTTTTGCTTTATGAAGTTTTTACTCACCCCCTGCCGTTTTTCAATAGGGGTAGTTTCAAGTTTTTTTATTTTTGTACAAAAAAAATTTCTCAATAAAAGTTTTATAAGATGACATTTCCTACAATTTTTCCTGATCAACTTTTTTTGTAACTCACCCCCATTCAGCGGGGGGACACTTCTCTCGGGGAAATTTTAGTTTTTAGGGGTATATATATTTTTATTTTTCTTTTCTCGCCTTTAGTGCATATAAAAAGGTGCAATTAACATTGTACTAAAAGGATTTTTTTTCCACCACCTTTTTGTTTTTAGGAGTAGTTTGCCTATTTTCAACTTTACAAAAAAAAATTATTGAGAAAACTTGTTCATTTTATTATTTTGAGCAACTTTTCTCTATAACTTTTTTTTGCAAAATTGAAAATAGGCGAACTACCCCTAAAAACAAAAAGGTGGTGGAAAAAAAATCCTTTTAGTACAATGTTAATTGCACCTTTTTATATGCACTAAAGGCGGAAAAAGAAAAAAAAATTAATATATACCCCTAAAAACTAAAATTTCCCTAAGGGAAGTGTCCCCCCGCTGAATGGGGGTGAGTTACAAAAAAAGTTGATTGGGAAAAATTGTAGGAAATGTAATCTTATAAAACTTTTATAAGGAAATTTTTTTTGTAAAAAAATAAATAAACTTTAAACAACGTCTATTGAAAAACGGCAGGGGGTGAGTCAAAACTTTATAAAGCAAAAATGTTGTATGTGTTGTAGAAAAAATTTTCACGTTGGTTAAAATTTTTCATTTTCATTATAAAATTTCAAACGGCCCTTATGACTACAGACGGCCCTTAATCAAAAAAGTCTTTAGATAAACATTGTAGATCAAATAATGTTGCACATCTTTCATTTGAAACATTTTTTTGTAAAATCAATAGATACCAAGTAATCGCCAATGGCGCACTTTCAACCCCTATAGCGCAAAACGCCAGAGGGGTGAATGTTTGATATTTTCGGTTTTATGATCACCCGCCCGCCCCCTATCATCCCTGAAAAGTTCATTTGGGTAGGAATTTTTTTTTTTGCAATACATGTATTTTTCGACTATTTTCCTAGACTAACTGCCAAATGACGAATATTAAAATAGATAATAAAAGAAAGAAACAAGCTTGTTTACATTACCCTGGTCCTTTTTTTTATTACTTCATACTGATGACTCATCAATTAGATTAGGTATAATAATATTGAGATGAGATAAATAAATCCTTGTTGAAATGCACAAAACATCAATTATTTCAGATTGTTTCGAAAATGTGTTGAAAAACCTGGAATAATTCTGATTTTGAGATTTGAGAATGATCATTATTCAAACGGCAAAAATTGCCAAAACAATTATCAATATTTTTTTATGTAGGTACCAACTGTACTTATCATATGCATCAGATATTATGTACTGCCTACTTTGTAGATACCTACTTAATTATGTACTAAAAATAATGATGAAATTTCAAATTTTTTGATGTTGAGATTTTGTGTCTAAATGATCATTCGGGATCCCCCAAACTCCATATACTAAAGTATTCTGAGATTTGAAGCTGAAATCTATGAGAAAAGGCACTCAAAAAAATTGAAAATTGACAAATTTAGGTACCCTAAATTGCTTAACACGATTTTATTTCTGGAACTCCAAAATGAGCTTAAATTTTTAGGAATTGTAGTCCTTTACTGGTATAAGAATTGCCGAAAATTTCAGCTTTCTATCTATGATAGAAAAAAGTTATGGTTTTTTGAAGTTTTTGAAAATCCAAATCATAAGGTAGTACTTAGTACTAAGTAAAATGATGAAATTTCAAGTTGCTTGGGGTTATTCTCTAAGAAACCCTGATTCAATGAGATTACCAAATCATAGACTGGAAAAAACAGCCATGAGTTGTTATCACTCTTTCTGTTCTTTAAAGGAATATTTTGATATTAGGTTAAATAAAAAAAGATAATTAAGGAAAAAAAAAATACATATTACTCGAGATATTTCTATTCCAGACTCTCAAAAATCGACAACTTATGGTTGTGGATAAGATGTTACACATTACATGTGCATAATATATCAACTTGTGGAGTGGTACAAAAAAGTATCTACGTTTCAAATATAAAAATTGAATAATAATATAATAAAGTTGTCTCCTAGATATATTATCATGCATAACATTTGATCTATGACTGTAAGTCTTGATGTGGATCTCTTTTTTTCTCTATTTCTGATTTTTTTTAATTTCCATTGAATAACGACTACTATAAATGAAAACGTAATAATTTTCAATTTCAGGAAGAAATCATTAAACAACTCTCCAAACCGTACATTTGTCCGATACCGAATTATGAAGGGGCGCAGTCCACCAAGAATTTGGGTATTCGTAGAGCGCAACCTAAAAGAGCCTTATACGATCCTAATATGCCCAATGCTTTAGTTTTATATACTCCGCCCCCTCAAACTCTTCATGATAAGCTAAAGAATGAAAAGTAAGAATAATGATTGACTTTATGATTCTAGATTCTTAACAGTTTTTCTTTTTCAAGGGATGTTTTAGTACATGTAGTAGTGGATCCTCAGTTGGGAAACATTTTGAGACCTCATCAAAGAGAAGTATGTTTAGTCTATAATATTTTTTTTTACTTAATTTTCACATTTTCTTACAAATTTCAGGGGGTGAAATTTATGTACGATTGCGTCACAGGCATCCAAATCCCAGATTATTATGGATGCATTATGGCAGACGAAATGGGTCTAGGAAAAACGTTGCAATGCATCACGTTGCTCTGGACTTTAGTTAGACAGGGACCACAAGCTAAGCCCATTATTTCCAAAGGAATCATTGTATGTCCCAGTAGTTTGGTTAAAAATTGGTATAATGAAATAAATAAGGTCAGACAAGCAATTTTTTTTTTTTATGAATACAAGAAAAGTGTTTTTTTATTTAGTGGCTCGGTGGTCGTCTGCCTTCTGTTATGATAGACGGAGGGCCTGAGGTTAAAAAGAAGGTTACACAGTTTATGCAGGGACAAGGCAGGATGGCCATACCAGTTTTGATTATTTCTTATGAAACGTTTAGGATGCAAGCGGAAATTTTGCATGGCAGCGAAGTTGGGTTGGTTATGTGTGATGAGGGACACAGGTAAGTTATTGTTAACATCTATTATGTCTATTTATTTTTTTAATGAAATAGCAAAGGTTACATAATCAAAGTCCTTTACACCAGTATTATTTGTCTTCAATTCAGTAAAAACCAAACTCATTATTTTTATTTGGACTAGGAAAGACTATCAATAGACAATAATTAATTATTGGGTTTTTTTTTCAGGCTTAAAAATTGTGAAAATCAAACATACAGAGCTCTGATGGGATTGAAAGCTAAAAAAAGAGTTTTACTGAGTGGAACTCCAATTCAAAACGACCTTCTGGAATATTTCAGTTTAATTCATTTCGTTAACGAAGGACTTTTAGGAACCTCTAGCGAATTTAAGAAGAAATATGAAAACTGTATTTTAAGAGGTAAGAATATACAATTAAATGTGTCAACTGGAAAATAATTTGAAACAGGCTGATTTCAGATGAAGTTTTTTCCATATGGGGTACTTTTGGGTATATACCAACTAAGTTGTAGAAAGTTATATGTAGTTCCTATGTTTTCTTCACTTCCACTACAGAATTTTTGACTGACAAATTGTTAAATTTTCTTTCTAGGTCAAGATTCAACTGCAACAGACTTGGAACGTGAAAAAGCAGTTGCGAAAATTACAGAACTCACCACCATAGTTAATAAATGCATTATCAGACGCACATCGGCCCTATTGACCAAATATCTACCTGTTAAGTTTGAAATGATTGTAATATGCCAACTGACTGCTTACCAAAAACAACTGTACTTAAACTATATCAATTCAGAGGCAATCAAACGAACTATATTGGATAGTGAAAAGGGTGAAAAATCAAAAGGAACCGGTAAGATTTTCTTTAAATATATTCTTTAAAATCACTAGAGTAATATTTTTAGGTGGAACTAGTTCTTTAGCCAGTATTACAACTCTTAAGAAACTTTGCAACCATCCGGATTTGATTCTCGACAAAATACAAGAAGGAGGGGAAGGATTTGAGAAATCTCAGAATATTTTGCCACCCAAAAGGGGCACTAATGATGTCAGAATAGAGCTGTCATCGAAACTTATTATATTGGATTACTTTCTGGCTAATTTGAAATCCACCACTGACGAAAAAGTTGTCATTGTTTCTAACTGGACTCAGACGCTGGATTTGTTTGAACAATTGTGGAGAAGAAGGTAATGTAACATAACAATACTTATTTTTTACATATAAAGTTCGAGTTAAATTAAAGCTGGAATTCATGGATTTGAGTTCAACATTTAAGACACTAAAATTTAAAACGATCAAGTATTTATTGCACAGGACTATGATGACCTAGAGTTCATGACACGAAAATTGATAGAGGAATACGAGAAATAGGGTTTGGAAGTAAATTTAACGAAAACAGAATATATGACTATAGGAGGTGAACAACGAAATCTGAAATTGAATAACGGACAAGAAATAAAACAATGTTCTGAATACAAATATTTGGGCATGAAAATCTCACACGAGGGAACCCTAGACGAAGCAATTAAAGATAGGAATATACAAGGACGCGAGGCAATATCGCTACTAAATGGGATCAAAATATCAACAAAACTAACAAAACGAGAATATACAACACCATAGTCAAAAGCATAATCACGTATAGTTCAGAAATCTGGCCACTGAAGATCAGAACCGCAAAAATGCTGGAAGCAACTGAAATGGATTTTTGGAGGAGATCGGCAGGCAGGTCAAAAATGGAGAGGATAACAAATCTGAGAATTAGGGAGATTATGGACGTAAAACACACAATAATAGATGATATAAAGGACAAACAGCTAATTTGGTTCGGACATGTACATACAAAGAATGGCAGATACAAGAATACCCAAGCAAATAATTGAGTGGAAGCCAGGGGGAAGAAGAAGACGCGGCAGACCAAGAAGAAGCTAGAGAAGTGGAGTAGACGAGGAAATGAAAGACAGAGGCCTAGAAGAGGATGCCTGGATTGACAGAGATGGTTGGAGATCTGGAATCGGAAGACGTAGAACGTTATAAACTAATAATTATATATATAAATTTAAAACACTTCTAGAGCTAGTTGACTAACTAGAAGGTCGGGATATTTTTAGAAAGCACTTGGAACATTACGATTATTTTTCCAAGAAAGTCAATTTCGTGTAGATTATACAAATCTGAACAAACTTGTAGAAAAATGTTATCAGTTATCAGCAGTTGAGAAGACGTAACCAAAAATGGAAGATAAAATAGACAAAATGTTGTTCCCAAAATTAGATTGTTCCAAAGGTTAATCATATCATTAATTGAAACTTCCTGATTCTTTAATAATCTCAGCAATTTTTATAAGCTATTCTGGTAGATTTTTTTATAAAACATCCATTTGGCAAGAAAATTAAAAAATTACTAGGTGCTAAACATGATGCTAAAGGGGTTAAGCCTGTGACGAAAAGGGGATTCTCAATTACAAACATTATTGAATAAATCTTGGAAGATGTATCCTTAGTTTAGGCTGGGAAGATACCAAGATAATTCTCTTCGCCCTATCAAAGTAATCCTACCAGGAAAAGCAGATGCACAAACTATCCTAAAGAACAAGAACAAAATCTCAAACCATGAAGGCAAGTACATCAAACATGACCTCACAGAACTACAAAGAAAATTCCGCTTATGGCTTTGGCAAGAATTGGAAAGTGGCTGTGCTGAAGGTAAAAGCCACCTGAAAATTAAATACTTCAATGGCTGTCCAAGGATTGTTAAGGGTTATGTTAAAACACAAATCTAAAACAACGCCTCAAAAGACTAATAAATCCTCTTATGGAGGCTCCTTCTTTTATACAGATTTGAAATCTATCATGACAAAAATTGACGATTTTAGAATATCCATAACATCATCAAATCCAACATTTATATTGATAACAGAGACCGCTTCACTGCTCTATTTCAGACTCTAATAAACAATTCACATTATAAATTATTTCGAAATGACAAGAGAAAATAAAAAGGGATGTGAAGTTTGCATCTGAATGATAAAACGGTAAAATATGAGAAACAAAAAGAAGCTGTGGGATAGTTACAAAAGAAACGGCAACCAAGACAACTATGAATCATATTGAAAAGCGAACAACAGTTTGAAAACCGAAATAAGAGAGGCTAGAAAAGCACATGACCAAGTGACTTAGCAATTTTGTGTTAATCACTTTCAGTTTTAATTTCTTCTGGGAGATAATTTTTTTATACCTTTGTATATGATGAACTTTTTTGTAAGGCCGAGTTTTGGGATGAAAAATAGCAGGTAGTTATGTCGGAAAGGATAGTGTGACTTTTCAAATCCTCTGTATCTCTTATAAATAAGGCATGTAGTCTAATATAAAAATGCAGTGGACCTGTTCACGTATAAAGAGAGTCCTACAACTTTCTTTGTACTCTGCATGACACATGTATCTGAGAGCTCTTTTTTGCAAAATAAATTCTGACTGCAATAAGTGTTGATTAGTGTTGAGTAGAGAAACCCCAGAAAACAATACCATATCGTAGATGGGACCCTATTAGTGCATGATAAGCTATTTTTGCTGTGTGTCTGCCGAGTTCATGCTCAATGCTTTTAATCACTGCCGAGTTCATGCTCAATGCTTTTAATCATATAGCATCCTTTTGAAAGAAGGAAAGAGAAAAAAAAAACACCGAGGAAATCATTACCGACAATTTTACCACTGCAGACGTATTTGCTGATTACTTTAAAAAAGTGTTTATACGAGACTTTTTGGATAAGGATAATATAACGCCCCTACCAGCCAATTCTAAAAACAATAGTTTAGTGGTTATCGTCCTTTTTTTTTTTATTTTGGTAGGTTTTATCAGGTGCAAGATAGGTGTCCTGATAAAACCTACCAAAATCTAAAAACAATGCAACAATATCATCTGACACTCCAGACATCGTTGAGGAGTCGATTATCGCCTTTAAGAAAAATTCTTGTCAGGGGTCGTATTTTCGAATTCATTCGAGTACATTTCGTATACGAAATTTGATTGACAGCAATGTTAATTAAATGGGGAGCATTCGAAATCGTATCAAATTTCGTATGCGAGAATACTCGAGAATACGAAAAAAAAAAAAAAAACTTGACAAAATCCCAACAATATTTTTGCAAAAGTGTGTAAAATCTATTGGCTCGCCCCTTGCACAACGCAATGACTAACTTGATGAGTAACGAGAGTCCCAGAAAAATGGAAAGAAGCCCACAATATCCCAAAACATGAAAATAGCTATCCCAAAAAAATTATCCTCCCATAAGTTTTACTTGTGACACTTGCAAATCTATGGAAAAAGTGGTAGGTGAAGAACGAAGAACTGACAAACTTTCTAATAGAAAACAACATCCTTCCCTCGTCACAGCATGGATTTTTGCTTCAAAGGGAGTGTGACCCAAAAATAAAAGTTTTAGGAAAAAAAAAATTAAAAAACCTAAGAACAAATTTTCGAACCGAACTAGGCTACGACCAACCGTTGCGAAGATACCTTGGTATAAAGTTCCCATTTCAGCACTGTGACGTCATAATATGCATCAACTAAGTCCGCCGGCCAGCGCTGGGTGCGCGGTTTTTCATGCTTGCGTCATATATTATCGACATTATCGTATTGTTTTTGCCTTCTCACCCCTATCGCTGCGTCAGTTTAAATAGGTTTTGTAATTTTTGCGTGTGTTAATGATGTCACGCGATGAATAGACAAAACTTTATTTAGACGAAGTACCTTATTATTTTGAGTAGCGATGCGAGATACCACAAGAGTTCTTAGAATTTTTTTCTGTATTTCCTGAAAGCCAGTTGTATTTTAGGGTCACATCACACCCCCTTTAAAGATTAACTGAAACCAACCTACTACCATGTTTCGATTTATGGACGAAAATGAATGACGAGGGACAACCTATTAACGTCATATACCTAGACTTTGGAAAGGTTTTTGATAAAGTTCCAATTAATCGTATTTTATACAAACCTGAGCATTTTGGAATACGTAACAACATTATGGTTTGAATCCAAGATTTTTCAAGCGATCGAACGTATCAGGTTATAGAGTTAATGGCGTTTACTCGACTCAACATTCTGTACATACCGGAGTCCAGAAAGGCTCAGTACTTGGCCCAATTATTTTTCTTATTCCTTGTTTTACAAGCGACCTGCCAACTAATCTTAAAACCAATATCAGTTTTTTCGCAGATGTGACCAAACTCTTCTGCAATCGTATCACCAACAGTGAAGACCTAAAATGTGACCAACTGACGGTATCCGAGCCGAGTGGTGTGAGAACTGGCTGATGACCCTTAATGAAAACAAATGCACTGTACTCCACATTGGCACCAACAATTCGCTATACGATTAGAAACTCAATAACATTACGATGGTATCTACTAATGAACAGAGATATCTTGGCATCATTGTAACCAACAATTTAAAATTAGAAACCCATATCTCAAAATGTATTAAAAAGGCTAATTCTCTGGCCTACCTGACGCAAAAAGCGTTCAAAGATCACTCACACTCAAGAGTTACTACATCCTAAAAAAAAAAGTCCTACATCAGACCCATATACTAGAGTATGCGCAGTCGTTCTGGAATCCTTATTATTTTTTATTTTATTCTTATTTATTTGAATAACTTTACAAACACTTACAGTAATTACACGTAAAGTAGGAGAACATACAACCTAATACTAAAATTACCAATAATGAAAATCAAGATACAGAAAAAAAATTATGCTAAGGACATTGAGAAGAATTACTAAAATTCCACTAGAAACCTAAGAGCTCACATCTGAAAACCGTCCGAGGGAGTTCAACCTAACTACTCTACGTGACAGGAGGCTATGAGGAGAGAGATCTAAAGTATTTTTAATACCCATTTGGAAAAAACCCTATCCTTATTTATCAATCACGAATCAGATGGAACAAAAAATTAACTACAAAAACGAACGTTGAATACAGGGTAATCTGTTATAAAATGTCACCCCCTGCTAACTTTTTCATTTGACGTTTTTGACAGAAGTGTCAAATATAAAAATTTTAAGAAATTGTCAAAAGTTTTCAACTAAGTCAATTTTAGGCATACAGGGTACGTCAAAAAAGTGCATCAGTGTAAAGTTAAATTTTTTTAAATGTAACACCCCGTATATTGTGCGTTTCAGTTTATC